GTGTCAAACTTCACGTTCTGTTCAGAAAGGAAACCCATTTTTACGGACATCAACAACAAATTACACTGCAATCTGAGTTTGTGCGAAATTTTAGAACTTGTGTTCTTTTTCGTAATGGAAATATCCATGGATACAGCAGTGTCTCTAACAGGCAAGTCTTCCAGTAACAGACTGGTAATGTGTGCCAAGAGGTGTGTGGAACCATTATTTTTCATCATCAACGGGGCAAGATGGCTGGAACAAAAAAAGATAACCCCGTTCAGATTGACGAAGTAAGATTTAGATGGTCGACGGAAATACTATCGTGGCAGATTGCTAAATAGCGACAAAACAAAGATTTTAAAGAAAATGAGAGGCGTCGGTAGTGAGCTTTTTCAGTCACACATCGATCACAATTGCTGGAAAATACTGAGAAAAAATGAAGCGGATTTGCTTTTTTTTTTTTGGCATTCCTGCTAAAAATGACACGAAATGTTACGTAGCACCAATGAATTCCATCACAATGAAGTACTATTTAAACTTTTTTTGATGATTCCGATTTGTATGATTTAACTGTATGTTGCAATGTAAACTTTAAAATAAAAATGACCTGGTAGACCGCACGCTAAAAGAAAATGTCATTTCACAGCGGAAACTGCAGTAGACCGCACGCTAAAGCAGTACCCTAAAGTCTGTAAAATGTCTTTCCCGCTGTTTTTAAAATATGTCAGGCGAAGTTTTATTGGAAATAATTAAATACACCTTTTTAATTTAAAAAAACAATTCAGTGATCAATTATTAAAATTTAATAATTAAATTTAACTTATTTTTCTTCTTTCACTACTACTAGCAATCTTGTGTCATTATAACTAACAGTTAACTGAGTTTTTAAAATTTGTTTTTCGAATTAAAATTTTATTTGATTAAAAAAAAACATCTATTCAATGTCACATTGTTGCAAAGCATTATGGGATGTGATTTTTTTTCTATAATTTTAGGATTTATTTTATTTTTCCATCCGCTTGTAACGACCGGACATAAGAATTGCTTTGTGTCCCCCAGAACAATAAATTATGATACATTTTTCTTATTTTGCTGTTTTGTATATTTCATTTTCAGTGCATTATATAACACGTTTTTAAAACATAAATATAATAACCACAAAATTTAGTTATTTAACTTTTTTCTAATATTTGAAACTATTAAAGACTATTACAAGGGAAGTAATTCAAACAGTTCGTTTTGTCTATTCAAATATTAACATTACCTCCCTTGCTTCAAGTTAATTTTTTTTTCTTATGTCAATTGTTTTCATGGATAAATTTTATTTCAATTAGAATCTTGTTTTGTACATGAATAAATCAATTTTAAGAAATTTGGAATCTTTTTTATTCTTAGTAAGTGTTGTAATATGCAAATTTATAAGTCACGTGAGTTCACATTTCTTATAAATAGCAATAACAGGATCAAATTTAAAACAGTGGTATCAAAAATTTATGACAGACCTTTTTATTTAGCAGTTGTACTTGAAAATTGCGTGAAACTTGAATTTTATTTCAAGTCTCTATCAGATTATCTAACTTATGACAACTCACTGAACTAATTAACAGCTGAATTTGAATATAGGATAGCAACTCAAAAGCCTAGACAGTAAAAGAATGGTGTCATTGGCATACAGTTTTTCAATGATTGAGGACAAAATTCTTAACTTAAAGCTTACTCTCCTGATAAACTATTATCCCTACTGCATTCAACTTTATTAAAACTTGCACAGATTATGATGCAGCACTAGCTAAATTAGACACCATTTTTATTAAAATCCAGAATGAAATTTTTAAAAGACATTTATTTGCTATAAGAAAACCAAGGAAAACTCTAGATGATTTCTTCAGAAGACTCAAAAAACTAAGACATCATTAAAATTCCAAAGACTGTACAACTGAATGTGGAGATGAAGCTATGTGGAATTGCTTCTCCAACAATATGCCAAAGACTGCAAGAGAAACATTGGACTTGCAGTCAGCTTACACTCAAGTTTCAGCCTTGGATTTGACACAGAAGAACAGCAAAACTTATGTTGTCCTCCTCTTCCTTCTCCAGAAGTTACAGTCTCTGAAAGTAACCTTTCTGAAAAAGGTGATAAAAATAATGCCTTAAATCCACATGAAACATCAATGGTAGCTGCAAATTAAAATCCTGGAAACACCAACATTAATCGCACTAATAGGAAACCCTGCTTCTTTTGTGATGACATGCCTTACCATAGGAGAATAAATTGTCCAGCTTGGAAAGCCTTATGTAACAAGTGTTTTAAAGGGGGACACTTTGTTGGAATGCATCAGTCTTAAGCAACAAGTGCTCCTGTGTTTTCTACCCTAATTGCAGTTAGTAAAATGGAAGTGCCAGGTGTACTCTCACATGATGCAACAAATTATAACTATTAAAGGATAAATGTTGAATGTCTTGATTCTTGTGCTTCTGAAAGTTTTATTAGGAAAAATAAAGTTCATTCCTTAAAACTAAAAATTATTCCTTCGTTAAAGCAGGCACAAAAAAGCCTAAGGAGTCAGTCTAGTGGATTTGTTGTTGTTAGTATCAGACTTAATGATAGGCCAAATCCGACCATTCACCTGATTGTTATAAAAGACTTGTGTTGCGATGTGGTGCTGGGAGAATAATTTTTAGTGTCAGCAACTGAAAGTTATTTTCAAATGTGGTGACCAACTTGTTATAAGAAATATGAGAATTTATTATACTTTAGTGACTGCAAATATGAAGGGAAGTTGGTCACTACTTCATCTAGATGCTTTAGAAAAGATGACTGGGATTTTATTGACACTGAGATGAATAAACTTTTGGCCAATGAGATTATTAAATCTAGTATTTCTCCATGGCATGTCCAAGTCATCATTGTTAAAGATAAGATAAAAAAAGCTGTAGGAAATGTTTATGCATTGATTACTTGCAAACAATAAATATGTACACTGAACACAATGCCTGCTTGTTGTCAAGGATTGATGATTTACTTACAAAGCTTTTGCTAAGAATAAGTATTTCTCAACATTTGACTTAAAAAATGCCTATTACAAAGTTAAGCTTAAATCTTTTGAAGCCAATGGTTGAATTTATCAGTTTCCTTGACTTCCATTCAGGGTAACTAATGCTTTTCCCACTTTCCAATGATCAAGAAAAGAAAAAAATTCTAATCCTAACCCTTAAACCTTTAGTTTTTGTTCACAACTGCAGTAGCCAGGTATTAATCTCACAACTTGTTGGGCTAAGTCATTGGAACCAACCAATACTTTTATCCACTGGACAGTTGTGATAAGAAATATAATGGAGAAACAGGCCACCCCCTTAAGAAGAACACCATAAAGCCATAACATGAGTGTAAATAGAAAAATCAGGCATAGCTGACCACATATGAAGGGAAAAGGAAGATCACCACCCCCTGTGGGATGAGGTTGAAATAATAGAGAACATCACTGGAAAATATGAAAATTTAAGGAATCAGCACATATGCTAACCTACAAAAATGTCCTAAGCTGGCCAAGCATAGAAATGAATACAATATGGGAACCAGTAATAAGGAGTACTAGAGAAAAGCAATGATAACAAAATTGCAATATGTGCTCTGGTAAAAAAAAAAAAAAAAAAAAAAAAAATTGGCTACTGAGATATTAAGTCCTAAAAATGCATACACTGATGTCCTCAAGGACACATGGCCCAGTGGATAAGAGTGTTGGCTTTTAACCCAGAGAGTTGTGTGTTCAATACAAAAACTTAGAAAGTTGAATTAAAGATAACTGAGACATCTGGAAGATATGTGAATATCCTGGTCGATGAAATAAAAGGTCCAGTTTGAAATTCCAATTACCTGAAGAAGGTTGTAAATATGGCAATAAAGATGAGGACAACATTCTGAACAATGTAAATGAAATTTTTTATGTGCTGTCACTCAGTTTGAGCAAGATCCAGTTTTATATATGGTAGCAGTACTTCATATTAAAAAGGACAAATAGCTATAAATATGAGATTTTAGTCTCACTAGTGCTTATCCCAGAAAAGTAGCATGCTTGGAAAAAAGAAATTAAATTCTGGGAAATGGCAACAAATATAGATGTAAGGAAAAGAGCTCCAATTGTATTTTTGAGTCTAAAATGGTAACACCAGAGAATCAGTGCTTGTAATTTGACGCCGATAAATTAAACACTGAAGAAGGAATATATGAAATTTTTGACTCAGTTCAAGATAGATACTAATTAAGTGGCTCTCATGACATACTTAGCTTAATCTTTGGATGCACAGACAGGGGACATAATGTATAGCTCTGTGCACAGAAATCAGAAGTATTATGGTAGAGGATGGAGAGGCAGTAGATTCAGTAAAGGAAGCCAAGGCCATACCAATTATCAAAAGGAAAAACTAAGAAAGAAAATCCTCTTGGATCTGATAGTAAACCCTCTAGATGTGTTATCTACCATGTACTGGGTTAAAAGTTGTCAACATGCCTTTGACAAAGGAAATGAGGACAGTGTATTTGAGGCCAACATCGTACTCATGAATCAGCTTCAGAAAGTGTTACATTAAGTGAATCTTTAGCTAACAACTAAGGCAGAGTCATCTGAAAAAAAAGGTGAGACCCATTGCTACTATTAAATATAGAAACAGAGATCTCATATATTTTTTGAGAAATGAATCAAACCATTGGATTGGACCAGGAACAGTTATAGGAACTGAAAACAAGCAGGTGGTCATTCATGAAGGAAGCTATGTTAGAGTCCATCTATGTTGCCTGAAGATGTATAAAAATGATTTTGTTGAAGAATTGAATCCACCAACAACAGATGAGAACCCATTCAACATGGAAAAATTGGAAGATGATTCATAGGTAGACCATAATAGTCAAAGTACAGATTTTGAAGATGCTGTGGAGAGTTCACTTGATGAAAAAAATATTAGTCCTTTCATTAGCGGCAATGCAAAACCTCATGAATTGACTAACAATCAGGAGTTAAAAAACACTGGACAGTGGATCACTCTGCTTGTCTGCTGATGAAGAGCATGGCCAGCTGCCAGAACTGATATGAATTGCAGGTCTTGGTGAATATTGACACCTTGAATGCAGATAGCAGACACTTGCTATGGTTGATACTATTGAAGCCAGCACTTTTTATAGAAAATATTGTCTTGAACTTTTATGCATTGAAGACAAGCCAGAATATCTTCCAATAATATATAAAACTGACAATGCAGGCCTATACGAGTCTGCGCACTCATCTAGTCAAATATTGGATAAAAGGCTGAGAATTGAAACAGCAATTATTCGTGAAATGCTTGAACAAAAGGTAATACATAAACTTGAATGGATTTCTTGATCAAGGAAAAACTAAGAAAGAAAGTTGCAGATTGCCTAAGGGAGGTGTCTCCTCTAACACAATTCTGGATTATATATGTGAGTTTAGAGTCTCTTCCTTAAAAAAGAAAAAAAAATTGTACATGAAGACATGTGATAAGCTGTCACTATGGTCTATGTCAAAAGGGGGGAGAACTGTTAACTATACTGACTCTTGTGATCCTACCTAAGATTGAACTCATCATCCTTGACTAACAAACTTCTGAAGACTCCTCCTCAACTTAATGGATATGTTCTAAGCAGTAGCTTATCTCCCTTCTGCCAAAGTGGATTTAACCTTTAAAAATTATTTAAGTTTATTGAAATTACTCCTCTGAACATTTTTCTGGTGAAGTGCTGTCACTCAGTTTATTGAGCAAGATCTGGTTTTAACATGATGAATGGAGCTCTGTGAATTAAGTTTTGACAACAGATATCAACCTGGGAGGAGTAATGTAGCTGTGGATACTTTTAGTCATGTTTATTGTGCATCTGTAATTTCTCAAGGTTCATTCTCTTGTGGATTTACATGAGAAATTATGTCATCCAAGTATATCAAGACTTCTGCATTTTGTAAGATCAAGAAATCTCCCCTTTTCAACTGAAGACATTAAGAAAATATCCATGTCTTGCTGAGTTTGTGCTGAATTAAAACTGCAGTTCTATTGGTCTCCCAAAGGTACACTGATAAAAGCTACTGGATCAATGGAATGTGTATCTGTATTAACTTTAAGGGGATTCTCTCAATGGTTACTCCTAATCTGTACTTGTTCTTAATTGTTGATGAATATTTTTGGCATCCATTTGCATTCTCATGTCTGGATATGCACACTTCAACATTTATTAACTGCCTAGAAACCTTGTTTAGTATGTGTAGAATGCCAATTTATATACACTTATATAGAGGTTGTTTATTTAGGAGTATTTATGGAGTAAAAGTGTTGCTACCAGTAACTTGATAGCCAAGGTAATGGACAGGCAGGGAAATATATTGGGCTTATACGGAAAAGTAATGTTCTTTGTGGTGTAATGGATATTGACTTAGAGACCAGAGTTCAAATTCCAGTTGTGTTTGTTAGATTCACTTACGCTCCATCTCTTCTCCCCCATCTATGGGTTGATTAGCAGGACAGACTGGGTTCTTTAGCAATTCTACCACAGAAAGAAATGACAACCTACTGTGGTAAAAAATCTGCCTCATCAGTCATGTATCAAAAGATACATGATCGCCTAAGTGTGTATTATGTATGGTATTTAACTGACTGATTAGCTTGAATCTTAAGTCTTGGAACCTAACAGAAAACACATTGGGAACAAGTTTTGCCACAGGCCCTTCATTCTATTTGATTGCTGTTGTGTACTGCTACTAACTGTACACCCTATGATTGTTTCAAGTTTCAAAGAACTACTTCTCATGGGAACTAGCTCTCATCTTGGTTAATGAAACCTGAACCTGTACAGATGATTGGTCTGTACTAGCAACCACTTAGTCGATAAAGTTGAAATGATTGATAGATAGCAATCCAGCCTTTGCCAACATCAAGTATCCTGAAAGAAGACAATCAACTGTGTCTGTTTGTGGTTTGATTCCCTGTCCCGATCATTCAGAACCACCTCCATTTCACATATCTCTACTGAATTTCCCATTGAAGAAAGTTGGTCTGACACCTGTTCAGTCACCTAGTGTAGATGAGTCATTAACATCTCCTGAAAGTGAAAGTCTTAAAATAGAAAACCAATATCCACAACTAATAGCGTCTAATATAATCGAACTTTGGAGGTCAAATTGTATATCAAAGCTACCTGCATGATACAGGTGGGATTAAAATAAATTTTATTATTTAGTAAATGAATAAATTGCATTCTTTAGTAATTATAACTAAAGAAAAAAGTCCTCCTTTTTCTAGGAGGGAAGAATGTTATAATATACAAATTTATAAGTAACATTTCTTATAAATAGTAACGGGATCAAATCTAAATCAGTGCTATTGAAAGTTCGTGGCAAACCTTTTTATTTAGTAGCTGTACTTGAAAGTTGATTGAAGCTTGAATTTTATTTCAAGTCTATATTAGATTTTCTAACTTATGACATTAAGTGAAAATTTATAAAACTTTTTGAAACATTTCTAACACTTTCGCCCCGGCCCCTCAACCTCCGGCGTCTTACTCTTGGGGTTGAGGTGTCTACTCGGTCCTAACCGAACTTATGTGAGTGGCCATAGGTCCCCTGAGCATCCGTACATTATTTGACTGGTCTGCTGGTTTAATCCTGCTTCCTGCCCACATTGTGATTTGTTTGATCCAGAAAGCAGAAGTGATGTCCGTCCATTCACGGTCGACTGAAGATGTAGACACGGCTGGGGAGTCTGTGCTAAGAAATTTAGAATGCAGCAAAAAAAAAATGAATATCTGCAGAAAGCCGGACAAACATCGATTCAATGGTTGAATTGGTAATGTCTTTTATATAGCAGAAAAGAATAGTAGAGAAGAGAAACGGGCTACAGAAAAGAAAAGTAAAAAAAACAAAAAACAAACTCATACACTGGATTCTAGACAGAGAGAGAGAGTGTATGTGATTATCTTGTTGTTAAATCGTCTCAGAATGATATATGACTCTTGCGATGGAGGGATAAAGATTTCCGTGCGGGGCTTAAAGTTATAGTGGTATTCCTCCTCCCAACGCTCGCCCGGGACAATTCTCTCTTCAACTACACGTTTATATAGATAACCCTGGTTATAACTGACCCTCAGCCCTACTACTTCGCATGCGATTATCATCGGGGTTATGGCGGCTTCAATCAAAATCATGTGAATTCCAAAGTTCCTTCTAGCTTACTCAGCTCTATTTCAATTTTTAATCAATAAAAGTTATTTCAACCATTTCCATTGTTTTTCTGATGACCCAGATTCAATGGGTACAACTTCTGCCCTAGCTCAGATTTCCCCATCAGTAAAAAAAAATATGCTCTGATTTAATTGCGCTATTCAAATCTTCTCCAATTTCACTTAAAAAAAAAAAAATACGTGTGTGTGTGTACGTTTCCCAGACTCTCTCTGTCACATTTCCTCCCCTACCCATCTGTCATTTACTACTAAATGACACACGAGCTTTCATATTAACAAAATATGAGAAAACCCAGTCCAACATGCTTCTTATTAGGGGGCTACTTAAACATACGTCTCTTTTAGCATGCAAAAGTAGAATCCTCAAATCTTCTTAGGGCTCATTATGCCCATTTACATTTTCATTGTCCTTACGATACATATGTACATGCAACTTCCGGTTAAAGTTCACTGTTTTGGTGATCTCGTGCAATAGAACCTTTTCACATAGTTCACTAGTTCGAGGGTTCTTTCCTTTATTTATTTATTTATTTATTTTTTAAGTTCGCAACACTCCTTACCAATTATTTCAGTCTCATTACTAAAAATTAAAAAAAAAATTCGATTTATTTCGTAAATGTGTCCCTCCAATTTTGTCTCGCCTTCACAACAGGCTTTGTCGAATCTTTTGTTGGTTCAGGTCCTTACACGACAATCGTGGACTCTTCTTCAATATTAGTTAGGGGTCCCAATGCACTCGGGTCGGACCTACCTTAGTAAAGTGCTCTAACTGGAATCCCTCCTTCACTCATGCACTCCCGTGCCAAAATGACAACACCGCACGCCTCTTCAGCAACCACCAACAAACCAGCAAGGCCACGACTATCATTAGTATAATTCCCACAATGGTCAGCCAGGTTATTATAGCGAACAAATTCTCTCCAGATAGAATTCGGCGTAACTATCCTATCTAACTCCGACTTCAACCATCCAAGATCAATCTTATCGATTGGCTTTAACAACGGGCATCTTTTCTAGCGTCATCTTTTTTTACAATGGGTTTCCTGTTCATCCACTGGTATTCGTTCCTCCTAGCTCTAACAAAACCTCATTCTCTTCAAACTTCTCTTCTGCTTGGTAGTAGGGAGGTAAAAGATAGATGGACCAAAAAACCAATGGGTAGCCCTACAGAAAAAGGGGAATAACTCTTATTGTAGTGGTGGGCTTCCCTTCACATCCTTAGATAATTCGATCTCTTCTTTGTCTCACCAAATTCCGTCAGAGACAGGATTGCTTTAGGTAACATTACACTAACCAACACCTCTGCCTGAAAATGATCTCTAATTCCCTTCTTATTTTTCTTAAATAAATCTAGTACACACAGATTATGACTACCTGTCACGTAAATTGGACTTACAGACCCACAGATACCTAAGGCATCATTCTTGCATTTTTCTGCTTCTCCCTTTGTTAATAGCATAAACTCTGTCCTGGCTAGGTTTAGGGCAACAAATTCCGTCTCTACCGTCTACCTAGCCACTGCTCCTATCTTCAGCCTTAGTTTTGGATAGGGAAGGGGAAAATTCATCACCTGATAAATTTCAAAGGTACTATCTGTGTCCAGTAATGGAACCGACACTAGCACTAGCAATTTATCATCTTCCAACAAGGTAGTACATTCCAAGGCACTATAGTACCTCCATAACTGCTGGGTGGGGTCTACAGGTAATCTAAGATGATGGGGTAGTTTGTCTTGTATCTCCAGTAGTACTTCCCTTAATCGTTCTGGGGTTATTATACTCGGAGACAGGTGACCCAGCGACGGCATGTCTAATTGTGCTCTCACATGCTCTAACAACAGCGTTAAAGAGTAACTTGTTTGACGTACCTTACTCATTATAACTAATAATTGAAAATACCTTTG